GTTCCCATAGGTACCACATCATTTCGCTGCCTTTCGCTCTCTCGTCGCACTGCGCACGCACGCTGGTTCACAGGGAATTTTTCTGGGGCACCGACGATATGTCGCTTCTGTTAGAGACTGATATTTGAGAGGGTGCAGATTTTCAGACCTGCGTTGCAATTTTTTTAGACACGTTCATTCAGTGGTAGCCCTCTTCTGGAAAACCAAGTGCATGCACATGCACAAGAATTAACAGATTTGTGACCACCGATTTATTTCTTCAATGCTCTCCTTTTTCAGAGTTCGCGACCGGTTAAGCCTGGTGCCAACGGGCAGAAAGAATGCACCAACAATCTACTTTGTCACACCCACAAGCTTTCGACCAGCTCAAAAGGCCGATCTTACACGACTGTCGTACACTCTTTCACATGTTCCAAATCTGTACTGGATAGTGGTCGAGGATGCATTGACAACTTCAGATAGTGTGGCTAGAATCTTGCAGAGGTAACCTTTTTTAAGATTCTCGAATAACAGGATTCCAAGGATCTTAGATAGTATGCATTGTATTTAGGAGAGTAATTTCAGGTCGAAATTGCCTCATACGCATCTTTGCGTAAAAACTCCAACAAACATGAAGATGAAGCACTCTGATCCAAGTTGGAAGTTACCACGAGGAGTTGCACAGCGCAATGCAGCATTAGCGTGGATTAGGTAAAGTCAACAAACTTGCCTAATTTTCTTGTCCATTACATCTTACCGTTGAACTCCATTACATCTTATTAACTTCAACCCGTTTGTAATCCATAGCTAATTGAGGACACAGTTATCGAGCGCAAAAACTGGAGTTGTCTATTTTGGTGACGACGACAACACTTATGATCTACGTTTATTTGACGAGATTCGATCTATAAATCGAGTCGGGATATGGCCTGTGGGCATTGTTGGTGGTCTCGTGGCCGAGAAACCTTTTTTAGCTGAAAATGGTACGTTGTGCTCCAGTGCTTTTTTGCGTTTATGTTATAATCGTAAATTTTCTAGTGAATCGATTGTTTTTTTTTCTTTTGATACCGTCGTTCTTTATCTGCACATTCTGTCACTTAGGTTCTGTGGTAGGCTTCAATGCAATTTGGAAGCCAGAACGTCCATTTCCCATAGATATGGCTGCATTTGCAGTAAATCTAACCCTGATCACTGCAAATTCAGAAGCTTCGTTCTCCTACGAAGTAGCAAGAGGCTATCAGGTACGACTAATCATAAGGTTTGCTGCACTTTTTCAATTTTAAACATCTAGGAATCACATTTTCTGACGGGATTGGGTTTCAAAAGGACAGACCTGGAGCCAAAAGCAATGCAGTGCACTCGTGTGTATGTATGGCATACCAGAACGGAAAAAAGTGTCTTGTCCAAAGCAGATTGGGATAGATTAGCAACGCAGGATCGAGAAAAGTTTGATGACGTTGAAGCGCATGCGTTGGGGTTATAGTCAAGTTCTATGGTTCATGGACTAGGTCGCAGATTGTGTTTGATTAACACATTGACGACCGCTTGACACACATGGTGTG